CAAGTTGTGTGTGCGCTTAAGGAGAGTAGCAAAGATGTAGCAAGAGTGAGAAAGAGGTCGATGTATGAAGAGACTGACGAAGAGGAGAGAAATAGTAGAGTTTTAGAAAGTATGTATGCAGAGGAGAGTATGGTAAGTGCGATAGGGATTAGTGGTGATTAAGAATCAGTAGACTAGCTATATAGAGGATGCTCTAGCAGTTGGTTTATACAATAGATCGCTGTCGGTCCGTCTGTCTTGATTAATTGGCCGTCTGCCAGTCCTCGCGTTGTCGTCAATCCTTCATCTTCTCCTGCGCTTCCTCCTCACCTCCTTCCCCTCGCCCCTCTCCCCCCTCACTTACTAGGCTTCGTTACTTTTAAATCGCCATATGTAGAATAATAATCTATTCTATGGCACGTATAAATAACAACTACCTTCGTAACTATGTAGGATAATATGATAATTAATGACACATATAATGGCTTATGAGAGCAGAGCTTGTGCAAAAGTAAAGGCGAGAAAGGGCCGAGCGGTTGTTGTTGGAAACTCGAGGTTCGGACGGGCGGATTGTCTTCACGCAACTCTGGTGAACAGCAAGAATAATGGGAGAAGTCGAGAGATGAGAGGAGCACACCGCGGGTAGAGAGCCAGAAAGAGAGAAGGGGAGAGATCCAGAAAGAGAGATAGAGAGAGATAGAGAGAGAGAGAAGGGGAGAGATGCGAGAGAGGAATTAGCGAGAGGGAAAGAGAGAGAGCGAGGAGCGCGATGAGAGACTGCCGAGAGAGAGCGAGAGCGGAGAGCGAGTAGAAGGGAGGAGCGAAGTCACGAAGGCGACCGGGTGAGCTAAGGCCATGCATGGTCGTACTGTCAAGGTAAGAGCCCCATAGCGAGCCAGATTGGGAGAGACATACGGGCGCGTCTTCTTGCCCTTTCCCACATTCGGGCCGCTCCTCCTCTTAGCCGTAACGCGAACCGGTCAGGGAACTCGTCGAACAAGGTAACGGAGGCGGTTGCCAATGGCGACGGTGATCGGGCAAATTCAGCCAATTGGCGCTCTCCTGTTTCCCGCTTCCTTTTCTCTCTTGCGATCCCATCTCGAGGTCCGATGTATGAGCCTCTCTTACAGATCTCTTCAGCTCGTATTGGCTGCTACTAGGGGCCGCGACTCTCGTCAGAAATTCTCATGTTCATCCGCTCTGGCTTTTCCCCTCGCCTCTCTCCTCTCTCTCTCTCTCTCTCTTCTCTCTCGCTTCTCAACCCCCATGCTCTCTTTCCTCCCCGCTGCGGCCGTTATAAATTAGATGTGAAATTAGCTAACCCGATAAAATTTTAATTGGAAATGATTGAAATGCATAATAAATTAATAAATTAAAAATTAAAAATACTAATTAAAAATTCAATAATGATAATAATAATAAAACTTAATTAATATATTCGTTACGTGCGCTGCTGTTTTTGTCGAGATCCGCTGCGTCCTCGAGTTGTGCGATGCACATACTGGAGGTCCTCCATCGTAAGGAGGAACAAGGAGAATGCTGGACCCAGAGAGTCCGTCCACGTGTGGGTCGCACGCCGACAGCGACGGTGACATCTAGTGGCCAGAAAAGTATGATCGGGGGGACGGCGAGGCGCGAGGCGCGCGCTGAGCGGCGCGTTCCGTACTGTGGATTGGCGGCAGAAGACAGCAGTGAGGTGACGCGGGCGAACGGACTACGCGCCGTAGATTCTGGCCGGACAATAGAGCATCTTCTCGTACATTGCGCAATACTGAGGCACCACAGTACTAGCTTGAGTATCCTGCCATGTATTCGTTCTCCAGTCGCTGGCAGCGAGAACCTCCGCAATCCACGGTCTTCGCCTTCCGCGCCGGCGCAACGCCATCCATGAAAGATCGAAGTGATATTTGCGGCTAATGCCTCCCGCAGAAGTTTCTCCCTGAGCAACCCACAGGTCCGCCAGAGCCACTTGCTCCCCCTAACCCCGCTCCGTTACATCCCCGGTAGGCGAAGCACCCTGCGAGGATATCAAGAGCCGAACTCACTCTGACAGCATCCTCTTCACGAACTGATCGCCGTCAGTCACTCCATTCCTAGCGGACCTGACCAATGCGCTCTACGCCAACAGGCAAGTTATTATTTACGGCGCGATCAGGAGACCTCGGAGGTAACCAAGAATTCCTACGTACTAGGTCTCATCCTACGCTGTAACTATCAGTACTCGTGCTACCCGTACGACTGACCACTCTACCTCTCTCTTAGAGCTCTCTGCATCTCCTGTTTCTTCTGCCCTTCTCTCTCCCCTCTAACAGAATCATTCCAGGCATCCTCCTCTCATCTCGTCCATCCCTCATTCATCGTCCTCCACGAATCATGAGCCACTCGCTCTACTCTCCCTTCTTCTATTCTAATCAGCTAACTATTCCATCTCTCTCTACGCTATTCCTGCTGTCCTGCTTCCCTCCTCTAACATCGAATCTCAGTCAGCATCCTCCCCACCATCTCCTGCCTCCTCCCCACAGAAATCATCTCATCCATCTCTCTCCTCCTTGCTGCTGCCTGCAGCGTCCTCCCACCCTCCTCGCCTACAGATTTCCCAGAATCCTCTACCCTTTTTGCTGCCCTGCAGCGTCCTCGCCCCTCCTCCTGCCGGTAGCATCTCTTGTCTCTGCGGCATGCATCTCGTGTCTCCGATACAGTCTGCTCTCCGATGATGGACGGACATCGAGCGAGCAGCAGCAGCCAGCAGGCAGCAGCGGCAGTCGGAGGAAGGGTGTGATGGAGGAGGCAGGTGCGCAGAGGTGGCGGTCCATAAATAACGCGTGGCGGACACCAGCCCGAGAACACGAGAATGAAATCTGAATCCGGCTTGTGATGCCGAGACAGTCACTGCTGTGTGTGTGTCAGGAGATCGTGTGTGTGGGGGAGGAGGGTGGTGTGTGTGCGTGTGTTGTGCGTGGCGTCGTGTGCGTTGCGCTGCGTGTTGCGTGTGTGTCGTGTGTTGTGCGTGCGTGCGCTGCGTGGGCTTGTGTGTGCGTTTGCCGTGCGTGCGCTGCGTCGCGTGCGTGTCGAGTGTCTGTGTGCGTGTCTGTGTGCCTGGTCTCTGCTCGCGTCTCTTCGTCGTGTCTGTGTCGGGTTCTTGCCTGCTCTTTTGTTCTCGTCTGTCGCGCCCTTCTGCTGCTTGCGCTGTGCGTGCGTGCTGCTGCGTGCGTGCTAATTGCTCCTGTTCTGCAGTCTCTGCTTTGAGATCGCGCGCCTTGTGTCGTCTGTGTTCGTGCTCGCTCTGCGTCTGTCTCTAGTCTGTCCTGTGCTCTACTCGTCCGTGCTGAGCTGGTTGTCTCGGTCTCCGTCTGTGTGTGCGTGCCGTGTGTCGTCTGCGCTCTTTCCTTTCTGTCTGCTTGTGTTCTCGCTGCGCGGTGCGTGCTTTGCGGACGTGGTCCACCATGCTGACGCGCGAAGTCGACGCGTGTCCGCGGGAGAGGCCCCAGTTAGGATCCTTGGTCTGCTAAAAGTGCTCGTGCTATCTACCTGTACTTGCGCGGCCTCATGCTGCAGTTTTATGCGCGTACCTGACTGTGACGTGTGTGTCTCGCTGTCTCGTAGTGTTGTGTTTAGTCGTGTGTGTGTGTGTCACCGTGTGTGTCCGTTAGCTGTCCATGATTATCCATTGACCATGTATTATCTCTCCTGTCGCATGGAACTCTCTCATTATCAGGTCGATCTGCAAGAGAAAATATATAAACTCCTCGCAGCTTAATGTGCTGGCAAGCGCTCAACGCTCGTCTAAAACTATACACCTGTACATCTTGCGAGCACTGAAATCTGGTAACTCAACTCTAAAACCACTACCTGCCAGTCCGCGGACCTATTCGTCGTCCTGGACAATTAATCGAGAACTATTACACTGACACGACTGTACTACCTTCTAGTAGGGCGCTAGAAGAAAGAATAGGCAAATCGCAGAGAAGGGTGGGCGATGTGTTTGATGCTAGGGTAGCTAGTTCGCCGCAGGTTGCGCGGATCTGGCCATGCTGGGGGGACGTGTGTAGCTCGCCGCGAGGGGTGATGCGGTTATAAGCGTAGGCCTGTTGGGCGTGATTGTACGATATGGCTCGACGATCGTTTTAGTCGGCTTACTCGTTACTTAGACCTACCTTGGGTGTATAACATCATTTCGTTATACTGATCTTGGTTATTCGTTACTTTTTGTGTTTATTTACTTCCTCTATCTCTCTGTTTTTTTATACATATTTCTTTTTTTCTCACTTATATATATTTTATCTCTTAGTTTATTACATTACTTCATTCAATTATGTTCAATTATTTATTTATTCGATTTATTCATTTATTCGTTTTTTTTGCTGATCCCGCCTCGTACCTGTACTCTTTGGCCTCGTTATCTACCTGTACTCTCACTGGGTTAACTGACCTATGATTCTTGCCGGTCGTTATCTACCTGGGTACTGCTCGAGTCTCGCTTATCTACCTGTATTCCTTGCCTCGGGTTATCGTGCCTGTACTCTCATACTCGTACTCCACCTGTACTGTTCACCTCAATTGCGAGGCAAGAGTACAGGTAGATAACGAGGCGAGAGTACAGGTAGATAACGAGGCGAGAGTACAGGTAGATAATGAGGCGAGAGTACAGGTAGTTAACGAAGCAAGAGTACAGGTAGATAACGAGGTGAGAGTACAGGTAGTTAACGAGGCGAGAGTACAGGTAGTTAACGAGGCAAGAGTACAGGTAGATAACGAGATAGAGCAAGATTATGGTCTCCCGGCGTGCTTACGTAGTGTACACCCAGACCGCGCAGGAAGAGAGAGAGAGAGAGACAGACAGACAGACAGAGAGAGAGAGAGAGAGAGAGAGAGAGACAGAGAAAGAAAGAGAGAGAGAGAGAGAAAGAGAGAGAGAGAGAGAAAGGAAAAGAAAGAGAGCCAGAGCAAGAGAGAGTACAGGTAGGTACGATATGATAGTTACAGGTAGATAACGATATAAGATACCCCGTCGATCCCTTTACCTGTGGTAGAGCCATTATCAGGTCCCTAATGAAACGCATCAACTGTTCGTGAAGAATAGCAGCTGGTTCCTCGTTGCTCACGTCTCCTGGCGCCACCTGTTGCTCAACGACTTCACTACTCTCTTTCGTGCGCGGGGAAGGCACGTCCCCGGCCTGCTCAGTACTGTCCGCCCTGCCAGATGCTCTATTGTCGGCAGAATCCGCGGCGGTAGTCCGTTCGCGCGTCACCTCACTGCTGTCTTCTGCGCCATCCACAGTACGGAACGGCCGGTCAGCGCCGCCTGCCTCCGCGTCCCGATCATTACTTTTCTGGCCACTAGATGTCACCGTCGCGTCGGCGTGTGATCCCGTCGACGACTCCTCCTGGGAGATTCTCCTTTGTTCCTCCTTACGATGGAGGACCTCCAGTATGTGCATCGCAAACTTGAGGACGCAGGGATCTGACAAAAACGACGCACGTTAACGTAATATATTAATTATAGTTTTATTATTTTTATTAAGTTTTTATTATCATTATTATCATTATTGTATTTTTAGTTTTATTTATTTATTATGCATTCAATCATTTCCAATTAAAGTTTATGATTGCTAATTTATATTAATTATAACGCAGCGGGGGAAAATGCAGGTATAAATTCTGCATCGCGCCGCTTCCATCACTGACTGAACAGTTACATCGCTCGTCAAGCGGACAGGCGACTGATTTGCCCTCCCGTCGCCATGGCAACCGCCTCCGTACCTTGTTCGACGAGTTCCACTCCGTCGTCGCTAGGGGGCGCTGCGACGACGGCGCCGGCGACGCAGAAACAAGAGGCTAGAACGGTCTGACGCAGTGCCAGGGGGACGATCTCCAGCGCGCAGATGCTGTGAAGAAACCCTGTCACGATTCCGAACACTCCCTCTCGGTTCTCAGCTGCCAAAACATTATTGTCATTAATTATCATATTATCCTAATTAGTTTACGAAGGTATTGTTATTTATCGGCCATATTATTATTATTACATTATTATAATAATATAGCCGATTAATATAACGTCAACAGATTTAACATTATCAACTTACCAACACTGCACATTAAAAAAATTATTTGTACATTAAAAATAACATTATTTAGACACACAATGTCAAAGGTACAGTTTGTACTGGAGCTGTTGATGAATTGCTTGATCAAGTAATTCGTATTCATACCCAATGCAGTGCTGCCACCTGCAGTCATCCCGAAGAAGGTGAGGATGTGAAGCAATGACTCGGCATCTTCGCTGCACATAGCTCTGAAAAGTGTCAATAACCTATAAAACCTATAACATAATATACACAATATAAAATAAATGATTATTATAGTTATATCATACAACATACAAATATATATATTTAGAGAGAGAGAGAGAGAGAACGATAGTGAGGCAGAGAGAAAAAAAGAGAGAGAGAGAGAACGATAGTGAGGCAGAGAGAAAAAAAGAGAGAGAGAGAGA